CGAAGAACATTTTAGTATTTTTTTATAAAATATTAGAATCTGATCACGATTTGAATGTGTCGCGGTAGGATGTAGAGGACGATCTAAATGCGCACGGATCACCGACATACAGAGGTCAGGGCGCAAGAAGCAGCTGTTGGCGAATCTAAGCTGACCAGGGTAGAACGCAAGTGAGTATAAATACTGTTATAGTTTCCACGTTGTTTGATTATTTATTATTAGTTTGATAGTCCGAGTATTTGTTCCGTATATTTATTGATTTAAATTCGTTTCATTTTAGTTTTGTAGTTGTAAAAATACATGTAGAGAACAACCGGGATGCCCATGCCGTGGAGCACAAATGTGCGGATAGCTGTTCATGTGGAACGAATAAGGCAGGTTGCAAGAATAAGCTTCAACAGGGAATAGTATAAGCTACAAATGGCGGACGAGATGCTTTTGAGAGTCATCAGATCGCGTTAGATGAAGCGAAACACCAGATCACAGTTAGTTTGCATTTGTTATTTGTGTTAGTGTATTGAGTAGATAGTGACATTCTAATAATTTTGGTTTCGTAAGTATTTTACACTTTCAGGCAAATGTCTAGTTACCGTTTATGTCGATTGCCTTTCCTCGTCACCAAAATTTAGCACTTATTATAGACAGTCCAGTTTAGCAATAAAATCGCATTTTTGTAATACGTTTCCTGTTGTATTAGTTATCTGAAGCTCTTGCTTTGATTACTGATTGATTACTGACACAAAAATAGCCTGCGTAGCGGCTCTCGGGGGGAAAGGAGAACCTTAACACAAAAATAGCTTGCGTAGCGGCTCTCGGGGGAAAGGAGACTCTGCACGAAACCCCATGCTTTACCGTATTTACTTAGTGGGGCGGATAAGTGAAAGTATCGTGCATTTTGTGAAGAAAACACCATATCGACAGGATGTGTAGACTTTGACTCAAGTATGAATATCAGATATGTAGGCATGCATCTGTGAAGTTAAGGTTACAGGACACCCTTTTGGGCGTTTTGCGGAAAATCGCTACTGCGCGCTCAATATCAGTCCGATTTTCATCCAATTTTCACCAAATGTTCTCCAGTGCATGCAAAATATGGTAAAGTTGTAAAATTAACAAACAATAAAATAATGTAAGCATTAGTCAGGAAAATCGTAAATCGCGATACCGTTACGCTTTTGAGTTGTGCTCCAGTGAACTATGTGCATGGAAGGCTGACTTCAGTCAGTGACGTAATCAAAAAGTGAAGCCAAAGATGGCGGATTTTAAAGCCATTCTTGCGCGTCATTCTCAGTCCCCTTACGTGTGCGGTTAAATATTTTTATATATTTAAGGGGCGGGAAGTGATGGGTCCGCGACTCTCGGGTTGTGTTTTTCTTCATTTTAAAAGAGCAAAAAAGGAAATTAACTTCATTTATTTCATGTAAACCTGATTTCCTTCATATAATCGATCTGTTTACTGCATTTTCCCACTGTATGTGTGAGGTAATCTGTATTTTTCGTTGCGAATTCAACAACTTTGTTGTTTTTTTTTAATATAAAATCTGTATTTTTATAAATTGGGAATTTATTTTTGCTTTTGTTGTTTTGCTTTCGTGTTTCTATGATGCTTTTCAGTTTTCACACCGTTATTTAGCTTATTTTAGTCCGTTTTCCTGACCTAAAACTGCTTTTTAACTGCAGTTTTCGAGGCAGTTTTTGTGATTAGCCCGTTCGCGGGCTAACCATTATGTACACGCTAAAAAAAGTTGTGAAGGTTGTGAAGTTGTGACGGAGCGTGTTCGGCTTTACTTCGGAAACTGTCGTTAATGCCATGATGCGATATAAATGTTGATACAGTACACAGATATTCTGATATAGTGATCATGGCCAGAAATCGAGGTCAGCCAGCGGGTTGACCTGTGGGCTCAAAATCTCAAAAATTCAAAATGGCGGTTCGATTATATGAGGGGAGCTATTGCAGAATATACCCGTCCGCTTCTAAATACTTCACTTGTTATCATAACACGAGTGCAATAACGCAAAATATAGCTTACCCACGCTTTATAATAGCGTGACTATACAATTATTACGTAATCATTTTCACCTCGTATCATCTTATCATGATATTAAACAAGTTAGGTCTTCAAACGTAGATGGGTATTCTGCAATCGCTCCTATGCAAAACACTATATTTAGCTATAATCAAACAAAAATAAACGTAAATACTAATACTGGCAACATTAATCCACTTTATTATTGAAATCTCAGAACGAATCTTCGCCAACACAAACCAAATATATTAAATTTGCCGCGCTTGTTTTTATGAATATACGAGCAAATTTAAAAATAATACAGCGGTATAGGCCTTGGTAACCTAGTAACAACTCAAAACAACTCAGGAATGTAAAATGGCAGCACGAAGCGAAGTGGCGAGCATATCTTGCTTGTTTATGCTAGTTTAGCGACTATTTGCCAGCGCTTGGTGGACTAAATTTTCACGAATCTGCACTGTAAATCTGGGAGTGTTGCCACAACACCAAAATCGGTGTAAATTCTTGCCTCTGTGGGGACACCGAAAAGGTGTCAGTTAACACTGATTTTCGTGTTAATTTACACCTCTTCAGTGTACATAGTTGTGTCTGTATGAACACCCATTTGGTGTTAATTTGCACCATCCTAGGTTATTTGACGCTGCTTTGGTGTAAATCCGCTTGCCTCTGTGGGGACACCAATTTGGTGTTTGTTTACACTGAGAGAGTAAATTTACACTATCCTAGGTTACTTAACACTGCTTTGGTGTAAATCCGTTTGCCTCTGTGGGGACACCAATTTGGTGTTTATTTACACTGAGAGGGTAAACTTACACTGTCCTAGGTTATTTAACGCTGCTTTGGTGTAAATCCGCTTGCCTCTGTGGGGACACCAATTTGGTGTTTGTTTACACTGAGAGAGTAAACTTACACTGCCATAGGTTATCTAGCACTCCTTTGGTGTAAATCTACTTTCCTCTGTGGTGACACCAAATTGGTGTAAAGGTACACCTCGAAAGTAAACTTACACTTCCCAAGGTTTAAATATGCTTGCAGTGTAAAGCTTACTTTCTAGTGTTCAATGTAATGTAATTATATTATACCAATGTAGTAACAGTTAAAAATAAATTTATTACAAATTTAAACTATAATTATTTTGAGAGTTAAGACTACAGTCTATATATACATATTTTGATTCAATTCAATCATTTTAACAGTTTACATCAGTCACAGACTCACAATCCAAATTAAAGTTCATGTTACCAGTACAGGTGATTTGAAAACCAATAGTCTTTGCTGAATGGCACTTTGACACAGTCAAAAATGAGAACACGTCACTATATAGCAGCGCACACAATCGACAAATGTTTTGCTGTAACTGTCCTTCGTTAAACATTAATGCATGGCCAACACGTTCCCTTGAAAAAATAATTATTTTGCATTACAGAATATTATGAAGAGTGCACTGCACCTTTTATGTGTTTGTCAAACAACTTATAGATAAAACAAACTCAATCTAATATTACTTTTGTTGGTGACATGTCAGAGTAAATATTTGAAATTTTAAATAGGCAGAAAGTTTGGCTAAACTATCACTAGGTAACACTTTTTTAGGGGCGTGCTACAATTTAACACGGCGCATTGGCACAGAGACTGGTTAAACAATTAACCAGAAGAGCATAAACTTTTCTGGCAGTAACATTTTCAGTCACAGTAAATAATAAACATAGTATATTAGACATTTTAAGTTTAATTGATTGTGAAGTTCTTTCCTATCATTTCAAATCAATATACTGTATTTTATTATAAAAAGTATAGTGCTTTATACAGATTTCGAGCATTGATAAAAGTGATAATCACACATGTGAGATTATTCATGATAATCTCACATGTGAAAATTATCACTTTTCAATTATCGCTTTTCTGTAAACGTTATCGCTTTTCAAAAACTGTCCTTTATATAATAAGCAGAAAAATACATGGGTACTTGGAAATACTGCGGATTTATTTCTTGTATTGAACATGATATCTCACTTGTTCGCTGCGCTCACTCGTGAGATATCACGTTCAACACTCAAAATAAATCTGGTACAGTATTTCTGGCGCACCCATGTATTATTCTCTATATAAACAACATCACTTTATAGGCAGTCTATATCCCATTTTAAATATCCTACATATATTTTATAATCACTCTATATCCAGTATATGGCCGGAGAATCTGGTAGGATATTTTCCAACTATTCGGCATATCTGGTCTTCAGCTGGATGCCAAAATGCTTTAAGCGGTGCATCCCTAATGTATATTAATTATTATTAATTAATTTCATTCTCGTGGTAGTGGCCATGGAAATATTATAATACACAACTCTAAAGCTATGATAAAAATTGTTCAAAATTCTAACTTCTTTTTAAGATGAGGCAATAGTGGGGTGTTTCTCCAGGGAACACATTTCTCCTGGTTTTTCAACCACAAATTTCCAACATTGATCAAGTTACAATTCTGAATCACCAGATAAAACTTTTTGCAATCCAGCCAGATTTCAGCTATTACGTATAGTTGAAGGATATCCGGTCAAATACTGTTGATATAATATAAGGTTTAGACTTTCATTTTTAAAGATAAATAATTATTTTAATTGGTTATAAAGTGAGGGTGTTTATAATACTTTGACTTCAAAATATATGTGAAATCATAGCAAAGAGCTTCACTCTAAACAAGGGTATTGCCAAATCCTTGCTCACAAATCTCAAAGGTCAAACCTGGTTTCTTCCAAAATACTGGATAGTAAGATTATTTTACTATCCACTATCTGCCGAGAGGGGGAATAGGGCCCTAACTTGAGATTGAGAGCCTAAAATTGAATAGGTCCTTTAAATTGGTTAGAGCATTCTTTAAATTGAGGGCCCCTTACAGTAGCTCCACATGCAATCTAGTTAAGGTCTAGTCATGAGGCCCCCAAAGAAGATTTGCCCCAGGCCCAACAAATTCTCTCGGCAGCCCTGAGCCTGGATATGATATCCGGTACCGTACATAGCATTTCAAACCTTTGTCCAAGCACAGGTACATTCAGTAAGAATGCCATTTTATCTGTTCCGTATGGTAGTACATTTTCAGAGGGCAATGTAAACAGCTCTTATTTAGCAATAAAGACAGGTGCTTTGAGCTGACCTGCCTGAAAAGTCTCAAGTAAACATGGATCATGAATTCTTCTTGGTAGTTGGCACAACACTACAATGAACTCCAGATGGTATCTGGTCTGCCTCAGTTCCATATAAACACACAACTTGACCAGGGCCGTAGCTAGACCAAAAATGCGGGGGGAGGATATTCATATATTCGTGTTCTGCGCCTGATAGATTTCTTTTGAAAATGATTGTTTTTACGGTATGTGAACATGACTCATTTACTATTACACCATATTAGGGTCTGTATAGTACTTAGCATATTGGGATATTTTTTCAGGGCAATCAGGGGTACACTATAATTTTTGAGCTTGGAATTCCTCAGAGGTATAAATATGAGAAACATAATGTTTGTGATGTTACTCTGAGTATATATCCACACAGGGCAAGCTTAAAAAAATATGCCTGGCCATGGTGGGAATCGAACCTACGAGCTTTGGAATACTAGCCCAATATAGGTGAGTACGACAACCTGAGTACATGACACCAACACAGTAAAATTGATGAGAAACATATATCCTGAATGTATTCAGGAAATTCAGCAACATGCATATTTAAGGTTGTCTGGAATCTATTGATAGCAAAATATAAATATTAAAGACAAAGGAGAAATTATTCTCCTCTCATACAAAGTCATAGAACTTGCTTTGGAGATTATATCAATATTTGCTAAATGAGTCAATATTGATACCGTCTCAGTCAATACATTATAAACAATAGGAAGTGGATATTCGTCCGACATTTCCATATCGTTAAAGTCGTTAAAAATAAAACATTCATACCTTCTAGTTGTGGCCTGTAGACTGTAGTAAATATTCCAGTTTGTTGTCGTTTTATATATCATGATTTCGACAGTTTGACGTGCTTGAATAACATAATATGGCAGTATTTATTGCTTGGAATTATAATCTGTAAATACAAAGCAAGATCACAAAGTTTTAATAACAATATATTGTTGAAACCAAATACAAAAATATACAATCGGCCAACGGCACGGCGGTTAAAAATACACATGAAATTATACAACAATTTATGGCACATATTTACACACGAAACTTCAGAATATTGACATAGTTGAACACTTACATTTAAAGTTGTTGTGTGGGTGTTAAAAAATTGGAGTATTTCTTCTTATCTTCTTCAATATATTAAGAAAACTTGGCCATATTCTTGGCCATATCAACAAGCGTTACTAAATTTCCAAACGATGCGCTCGAAGTGCGCCCGCTAAGCCTTCTGGGTGCCCATATATGGCACGCGATTGCTGAAGGCACTGATCTCAATCATGTGGACAATCCAATGGAAATTAAACTGTAGTACGGCAACCCTCACACTGAAGCCCTGGGAACGAGGTTGATAGTACGGTTTTTTATAGAAACTCTTAATTCTATCTTCAAAATTCTAGCTGTCTTATTTTGTACAGGATAAACACTGAGAAGGAGGGATTTCTGTCATATAATGTACACCATAGCCAGCCGGGCATGTTTGGAGAGGGGAAGGGGGGGGGTTTGGTATATCCCGGCCAAATTAAAGTAAAAGTAACTAGTAAGGGGCCACCAAAAAAAGATTAGGTTGGGAAAACTTTATATATGGAGGTAACAGATTGCAATAAAAAATTAACAATGTGAGGTCTGCATGGCACACCTTACAAAACGCAGAAAATCCCAATAGTTTTACACCGTTTAAGTTTACACCGTTTAAAGGTAGTCTTATAAAATATTTTGTACTTTACACATTTACACCGACTTTTCAAAAAGCCCTAATTTGAAGGGCATATTTTGGTCCCCATACAAACTTTTACACTATAGTTGAATTCTGGTGTATGTTTACACCTTACACTATCATAGTGTCGTCTCATACACGAGAATTAGATCGCTAAATTTACACAGTTTGAGGGTAAGTTTACAGCATAGCATAGGTGTACGTTAATATTTCAGTTTCTACTTTACACCAGATTAGTGTATCTTAAAATGGTCTTAGTGTAATTATACACCGGGTTCAGTCTAGATTTACCCTAAGTAAGCATTCATATGTTTTACACCATACCGGTGTATATTTACACAATCAAGGTGTTATTTCATACACAAGATTTGGGTAAATTTACACCGTTTGAGGGTACATTTACAGCATAAAAGGTGTCAATACTTCGGTTTCTACTTCACACCACATCAGTGCATCTTAACATGGTCTTAGTGTTATTATACACCAGGTCCAGTGTAGATTTACTGTAAGTAAGCATTCATATTTTTTACACCATATCGGTGTATATTTACACAATCAATGTGTTATTTCATACACAAGATTTGGGTAAATTTACACCGTTTGAGGGTACATTTACAGCATAAAAGGTGTCAATACTTCGGTTTCTACTTTACACTACATCAGTGTATCTTAACATGATCTTAGTGTAATTATACACCAGGTTCAGTGTGGATTTACACTAAGTAAGCATTCATATTTTTTACACCATGCCAGTGTATATTTACATGATTATGGTGTTATCTCATACACAATCATTGGGTAAATTTACACTAGTTAAGGGTAAATTTACACCGCAATAATAATTAATACATTACAGTTTCTACTTCACCGCAGCTCAGTGTATTTTAACACATTCTAGGTGTAACTAGAGGGCACTCAGAGACTGCATACCTCCGCCCGTTACTCGGAAGTGAAAGGCAACCTTGGAATTTCCTAAGAAATCCACTTTACAATTCTTAAGCATAAAAGATTTCAGGCCCCCGCGAATTGAAATCGAATTGCTAATAGAACATATTACTGTTGTTGTGCTGTACAGTCCTTGTAAAATAAAAACTTATTAAGTGTCATTAAATAAATGCATAAATTTTGCTTTATGCACTCGCGCGTGCAGTAATTTTCACAGTTGTGCTATTTTAAATTCCCAGGCAGCTAAAATCTTTTGTCTTTAAAACAATGTCGATTTCTTGGGAAATTCCGAGGTTGCGTTCTTTTTATACACCCTGCATTGAAGTAATCTAATGTTGTTAGAATTTGAATGGACTGGCACTTTGCTGAACGTAATAATGCGTAACTCCGTAAGCCTTGTTTTAGACATTGAATTTCGGTCACGTGAAATGCAACTAAGACAATAGATAATGAAGGCCGAAGCTTAATGAGGTTTATCATCTCATTATTGTCTTAGCACTGAGTGCATAAATTATACACGTCCTAATTACGCATTCAGTAATATTTTTTGTTAATTGACCGGGAAAAGCAAGACAAAATTTTGTTCATTTCTCGTTCAATTTTTAACCAAATTCAACCAAATTTTAATCAGTTCTTCCCTAGCCGATGGGAAATGCATTCAAAAAATTTCGTACGGATATGTTTGGTATTTCTTGAGTTATCGTGCTCACAGACAAACACACACACATACACACACACACACATACACACACACACACATACACACACACATACACACACACACACACACACACACATACAAACCCAGATGAT